TAATAGCCACACTTTAACGATAACTTTATATAAAATTCATACATATTTTTTGTTATCAAAATATTAATTCAAGAGTTAATTGAAGCTGTTAACATTGTAAGTTAAACGGAATTTTAAGAAAATGTCGGATAAAATTTTTATTAAGGAAAAATCAACTTTAATTTCATCGGAAGTAGTTTTAATCGTATATACATTTCAAATATATGCTTCGGGATAACTCGCGTAGAATCTTCTGTATAGTTTAAAAGTTTCTTTTCTGACATTTTCTTTCTCGAGTGGTAGAAAGCACTCAAATTGATTTCCGAAGACAATCGAAATATGGGCAGCGAGTTTGCTTATCTCTCGCAATAAAAGCTACGAACACTTGGTAAAAAGCGTTTGTAATGGTATTTTTATGATGTTAGAAAGAAGAACAAGACTAACGCGACTTTTAGCGAAATTCTCAATGCAGTAATTTTTTATGAAATAAGAGACGATCTATTAGACGATAGTAATGAGAAGAAAATGTATATATGTGACAGAAGCAATAATGTAATCGAAATAGTAGTAAACACATATAAGGTTATAACACTTTTTAAAAATAATTTGAAATAGATCTTATTTGAGCAAAAATTTTCTTGTCCGTTATCTTTTACCAGAAATTGATATTGAATGTTTTATCAATTTGGCGAGACGCTAAATTGAAATTCTAAGTACAAAATAAAAATTCTTTTGAAATTAAATGAAGAATAAGATTTTGTTTTTACCATATTTTCGCATCTCCGTTTCAATATTTTTCTCTTCTTATTATTAGCTATTCAGTAGAGCTTCCGAGCTTTTTAATGCGCAAAATACCATTTATTCACATCGCAGTCAAAACAGAAAGCTTTCGCGATTTTATGCTTGCGATAACTTTTCAAATATTTTTCTTATCTCGAATTGCCGAGAATTAATCACCGAGATAACGGAAATTGTTCACTGAGAAAGCAACAATCGCTGCTGACAGAAACAATTGCGGAAAATGTAATTCGTGGTACCCTTTGAAATGAACGGGAGAGAAATGATGTGGCGTTAGACCGGCCTTTTATCGACGCCGTCGTCGCAACACCAGTAAGCCGGAGCGTAGCTAAAATATTCTTCGGGAATGAAAGCGATGAAGAGAGAGAAGCAAGACGAGCGACGTCGTTGAGAAATACGTAATGACGGACGAGCATCGAGACAAGCGTGAACAAAGACTTCGCACTATCGTCCATCCGGGTTCCCTGTTGCCGCCGTACGTTACGATCGTGAAAGGCTCTTTTACTCGTCGAGAACGTATTTAAAGCGTAGTGTCATCGCCGAGTGTTTTGTCCCACTTTGAAAAATTATCCTGCCCCGTCTGATAACGCGCTCTCATACATCATCATGATAATAGAAAATATAAACTCCCTCCATATACTACCTTTCAACTACTTATAGTTCATAGCGGAAACATTTTGTTGCGAAAAATGATACTCTTCCTGTAAAGAAGACTGACGAGCTGGAAATAATTCAGATGCGCTAGTGTAATTTTTGGAAGAATTAAGAAAAATTTGACAGAAACACATAATTGTTTAATTTTTTTTTAATTGCTTAATGTTAGAAACAATTAAATGTGCCAAAAATTGTATTTATCATCAACACTAAAATCGCAAAATTGCGTCCGCATATTCTTTCTCGTGAAAACAATAGCAGCTGTCTGCGCAAAGTCGAAAGACAGAATTAAGATTAATCGTACAGCGCTGAAACATAAAGGGGATACATTTCGTGGATAAATCCGATCTGGGCTTAAAAGAGCTTTGCAAATCCAATCCGTGAAATTCTAAGTAACGGTTCATTGTACCACCTTGGTCGCACTTGTGCAAATAGCGCTAAAAGCGTCCAGACTCATAAATTATTCGCATAAGAACGTCGCCGAAGTCGCTACCTGTTGAAGCTTTGGTGCACCGATATCCCGGTTTCTTCGAGAGCCCTTTTAAGTCGCATCGAAGCCGGACAATGCATATTCATTTCGAGATCCGTTTCTTTATCGATCCAACGATTTTATCTTTAATGTCGGGATTATATTAGTTCAGTTCAAAGATTAAATCTTGAAATGCTGCATAAACTATGCGCAGCATTAGAATATATAGAGGAAATTAACATTTTCTTTCTAGAATATTTTCTGTTTAATTCAAAAATTTATAGTAAATATATTATAGATTGACAGATCCATTATTTTTAAAAGAAATTTTTAATATATCAATTAATAATTACGCCAATAAAACAACGTTGATGTAAACTGTCCATTTTCAAAAGAAAATGGAAGAAAGTTTATTAAAATTGAAGTATACTTGTATTTTGCGTCGGTATTTAATACTTGATGTGCAAAACATTGATATCGTCAAATTTAAGCGAAAATTGTGCACGCGATTCTCGCGAAGAATGTGAAAACCAGTATAAAACGTCATGGCGAAAAATGCACATCGCGTGCTTGCATTGTTATGCATATAATTATATACACTTGTGCGCGAATGCGTCGTGATAACTTGTAATTTTCATAGCACGATTTTTGAACGATCGTGACGTAATACGTGTTTGCCTCTTCGTTTTATATCGCGCTTTGGACGTGTTCCGATACCCGAGGTACATTTTCTTAGTCTTTTTCTATACACAATGAAGGTATATTTACACCCTCCAGCAAGGTTGACGGCTCATTTGCAAATGTATAAAATTTCTCGGAGAACATACTTTGTTAGTTACTTTGTACAAGAGTTTGTTTCTTCCGTATTTGTGACAATTTTTAGCAAAAAGTCCTTCGCGTATCTTTTTAAAATAAATTAACGAACAGATGTTCAAAATTATTTATGCTAGACGTATAATAAAAATAAAATTTAATCAATATTCGTGGATCAATTATTATGCATTGTTTTCAAGCGAGAAATTAATTTAACGCTCAATTAGTAAGATCAAGAATACCGAAGGTGCTTGCCCGATCTATTCTCGAAGGATGTAAGTAACTGACAGGATCTTATTTCTTAATTAATTGTCTTTAATTAATTAGCTTCTTCTTATTAAGAATTCAATTTCACGCTTAATTAGTTAACTACTTTACATTGAAAGTAAAAGAGACGATCTAAATTCGAAATTTCGAAATTGAATCGATTAAAACAAAAAAATTTACTTCAAAAAATACAATCTTATTATATTAATTGCGCTGTTTAATTATTAAATTGTTTAAAAAATTAGAAACGCGATATATTTTTGTGATAAATGCAGCACACACACACACACATATTTTTTTATGCATATTAAAGCTACTGTTAGTAATTTTGAATATAAGCTTGCACCAATTCTAGTTGTACTTTTTTTCTATCTCTTTCTGGGACTTGATCGGAATTTTTCATATCTGTCTCAAAACATTTGCAGAACACTCGAGCTTCTAGACAGATGGGCAAATGGAGAAATAAGCAGACACATGCATAGATAAATCGACAGAATGGAGCGTGCCAATGAAAAACTGAGAACTTAACTTTCGCATCGCATAAATGTATTTCGATTCGATTATTCATATCTGTCGAGTTTGAGATCGAGGATGCGATTATGCGAAATGCTCGCGAGCTTTGCTATGTTCACGAAGTTGGCACGATGTATTTATAAAAAGAAAGAGGCGTCCCGCGCCACTTCGTCAAGCAAAAGGGTAAAAAGTGATGCTTTTACGAGATTACAAGAGACGTACGTCGATACGATTGACGTAGCCCCGTCCAATTTTAGCATTCGAGAGAGACCAGCTATAGTGCGCTTTGACGCGATGCCATTAAATCGGTCGACGTTCATATTCCGCGATGTCTTCATGTCTGCAGTCTCATGATGCGCATCGAACCTTCCTCAGATATCAGAATTTTTATCAACGCGGTTGTGACAGGGTATAAGATTTTACATAAATTTCGCATGCGTTCGAATTGCAACCAGAAAATCTTCAAGTTTTATTTTTTTATTTTTTGCCACATTTCTCAGAAATACGTAATAGTAACACGCCCAATTGACTTGATTTCTTTTATTGCAGATTTATAAATTTTTTTTAACAGCAAAGTCGTCTGTTCTTGCGCTCTTTTTTCGAAACATTCAAGGAATTCGAGAACACTGTGCTTTTGTCACACCTTCACACCCGTAAATAGCAATTAACGATTTAACGTTCGTCAAAGAAAATTAATGTAGTTCACGTTACGAAGATTTCATCGTAATTGCGAAATCTGACGCTCCTTTGAGAGTAATTACGAAGAGCGTGATAAAGTCACACACCGATGACTGGCTCTATTAAAAACATGGTACTCTATGATAAAAATGGAAGAAAGTGATCGTGCTTCGTGATAAAATATTGAGACAACTAACTTGCAAAATTAAATAACAACACGTACCGATGATTATGAAAGTAGGCTAAGTCATATATTTTATGTTTTGAAAGATGTCGAAGATGAAGAAAACGTTTTTCCAAGAATTAGCTAGTATTTGAGAAAAGCGTTTAAAACTAAATTTTTATTGCTTGAAAAAAATATCAGAGGTGGAATGGAGTTTCCTTTCAAAGTTTCATAGTTTTAAGCGCACGGTTGTGTAAAAGGCTCTCGAATATTTTGTTTCTTCGACGTTTTCCCGTATTGAATGGATTCGAGTTCGGCGCGCGGTTTCGAGGCCCAAACGCGAATATTGGCGGAAATGAAAAACACGTGAAAATTATTTTCGCCCGTTTCGCCGAACCCAGCGAGTATCGGTGAAATCCAAGAGAGAGAGAGGAACGATTTTGCGTACGTTCCTCGTTAGCGTTCGGCGCAAATCAATCAGCAAACGAGCTCGCCCGCTCGTTCGTTGTCCGTCAGCGAGCGAGCCGAATAAAACGCCAGTCCGCTTTTCCCTAAACGTAAAGGCTGTATAATTGGGGCCGTGTGTTTAGAAACCTTTGCGCCCTACTGAATCTTGCAGTCGCGCTCTAATAGTCGCTCAAAGTGACTATCGGATAAATGTTTCAGTATGGGCTGGAGCGTTGAGCGCCGCGGTTTCCCGTGGCTCAGCACCGTTGGTCGTCGGCGCGTGTCGTCGTGGCAATACGAGGCTTACAGCGGTGATCGGTGGTCTCGTGCTGGCTCTGGCATCACTCTTCACCTCCTTCGCTCTCCAGATGCATCAAGTGCTCCTTAGGTACGTAACAGAGCAAATGGTACAGTTATTGACCGCTCGAAAAACACTGGATCGAAAGAAAGATTAATGGATATTTTATTGAAAATAATTGATGAGCGATGTCGATGTTTTTTATTATTTATTTTGAATATTAGTAAAGAGATGAAATATTTTCGTTATTAATTTTTATTACAAAGGATAAAGTATGAGTAGAATTAAAATTATTGAATCTGTTTTTACAATAAAATTAATTATACTTATCACAAAAAATATTCTGTCGCAGAAAAAAAGAAAAAAGTTCGGAAAAGAGTACTGTAGTATGTTTTATAAAAAGATTGTTATAAAATTTTAATTTGAAATTGGTAAGATGAATTGTTAAAGACATGCCGTTCAGTATGTTACACAGTGAAGTAATGCGCAAAGCCGCATTTCTGTTATTGAGTCGAGAGCTTTCCTTTTAAATAGCTTTTAATGCTAATAGCACGCTGCATTTTTCAGAATAGATGAATAAATAGAAAAGAAATGCATACAAATGCGATAAATGTTTGCGATTCAATATATATCGCAGCTTTCCAAGTTTCTTTGAGATGTCAGCGACACACCGTTCGCCGCGTGCAGTTGCCCTTTCCGATAAAAATCGTCTCGACTTATCTTTTCGCGCAGACTCGACAGGCGTAAAGTCATACGATTTACTTTTACAAAATGCAACAGCTACGGACTGGTGCTGGGCACGGGAGCCGGCCTCGTGAGGGAAACCGCCAGTTTAGTATTGGGCAATTACTTCAGAAAGCGGCGCGAGTTCGTCGAGATGGTGGTGCAAGCCGGGACCGGCGTGGGAATAGCGCTCTTCAGCGTCTTCTACAAGGAAGCCGTCGGGTGAGTTACATGTATTATGAGAGAATACGCGAGATACATTAATCAATACCCTGGAAACGCCTGTCCAAGCATTTCGCTCAAACCGGGTAGAAAAGATCCAATTAACCTTCGGCCGTGCTATTTCTTCGCACGTGTGGGCGCGCGATGCAGATTTAATATCACTATGTTATTTTTCCACTATACAACGCGACGGAAATCAGTAGTGCCGGTAAATTTGAAGGCCGGCATTGTTCGTGTTTGAAGGATCTTTACTGAGATTATGTATATATTATGTATATATTATGAACAAGCTTACCATAGTTGAGCTGCACGTTGCGCTCGATTATCTTCAATTTTATCATTAGAAATTTATTCAACTAATATGAGAGCTTAAGGAGAAAATAGATAAAAGAAATATAATTATTAATTCTATGAAAAATAAATTTTAAAAAGTATGTACGTATTATTAATACAAAGAATTATTATTACTACAGCTCGTTATTAATCATTAATACAAAACCATTTAACACAAAATAATTTTCTAATCAGAGTTACTGAAACTTAAAGTAAAAAAATAGAATGGTATCTCAAAAATTAAATTGCTAGAAAATATATTTAAAAAAAAAAAAAACGAAATAACGCTATACGTAACAATTAATTTTATATTAACCAAAATTTTGTTTAAATTTTGGATCTAATTACCAAACTGTTTAATATTAAAATTTCAAAAGGGAGAATAACATCAAGTATTTATGACTGAAACGAGTAAGTCTGGGAAATATTGACTAGGGGGCAGAAGTACAGCCAGTCACGTACACATAGATGGATACAGTGCTATTTCCTGTAGATGCTTGTATTTGAAAACGATCAATTTTGCTGGTAGTAGTAACGATATTTACCTGCCGGACGACAATGACTCCCGAAACAAATTGCGTACGACGAAAAGTCGGACGGCCGCGTGTAACATACGGGCAAAACTGCTTTCAATGCGTGCCACCCTTTTATCGTAGTTTTTCGCGCGACTGCATGTTCCCGTTTGTGCCGCAACGTCCGTACGCGGCGACGGTTCTCGTGCACAAAAAACAGTGAACAGATTCGACGTGGAATAATTGAACGTTCCATTCGGCGTGGCCCTTCATTCTCTTTTTTCGTGCGTCTCTTTCTATTTATATCTTTCATCGACGTCAGAACAATTCGTTTTTGGAGTATGCGACGCGAGCATTTGTTGATCCATTCATTTACTTTCCACACTCAGTTGGACATAAATTATTTATAAAATAAGTAAATGTTTTCTTATAATAGATCCTATAATCTTATTAATTCTTGTAAAAATTAATTCTTATTAATTAATTAATTTAATGAATTCTAATAATAGATACTATAAATTTAAAAGCAACTTATATTCTTAATAAAACTTTTAACCGTATAAACTCTTCCAATTTTGAATAAAATTTTGACTTTTATTTTAATTTAAGAACCCAGTTAAGATAAAATTAAATTAAAATTAATGAAAATGCAAAATTTTATCACCTAGTTATTGCGAGGAATATATATATATATTGGGATTTAACTTGTATGCGTACGTGCAACCAGCATGTAGATACGTGCGAGATAGTTACACATGTGGGTTATTAAGCATGCATCTAATTGCTCTTGCTGTACAGCGGTTTCTGTTAGATATAAAAGCTTGTCCAATTAGAGATCGTGCTCTTCTGAACCAGTGAGCATAATATCGTCAGATTACTAGGGCAGCTCGCTAAACCTTATTTAATAACTGAATAAGTCTGTTTAGCAGGTCGACAAAAATGTAAGAATTTAAGGAAGTGTTGATAATATTTTTTTCTTTTTAATCGAACAGTTTTACAACACAAGACTGCATAATCTTGAAAATTGATTTAAATTGGTCTTGAAAGGTTTCACAACTTCTCAAAGAGGAAGGTGAAACAGATTTAAATGACTGTGACACATTATAATTTGCGCTTTTATATGCATAAACTGATTTCGTTTCAAGCAAAACTTTATATTTTCAATAGCCGAGCCTTCATTAACGCATTAATGTTTCCCGCAAAAACTAGCCACGGATAATCCATGTTTTATCTTGCGCGAGAATCACCGCAATGCGGATGCAGTTTACCAGGTGCTGCGAATTTCTTCTAGGATATAATCGTGATATTAGATTTGTTCTTTTAAATAGCACCTTTCCTACGCTTTTATACTCTTTTCTTCTCCGAGAGAACAAACTATACTTTTTTTCTCAAAATGTAAACATTGTTGAAGAGACAAATATCTATTCATTTATAATAGAAAATATATTAGAAATTAATTAATAATTACTCTTAACAATATATTCGTGTGTAACTCATCTAATCTGAAACAAATCAATATGATGAATATGATAGAACTTCGCAAATATTACGGATGAGTTATGTATAATTTATGAACTCATCCAACTCTCATTCGTATTATTGTGCATCGCGTTTGGTGTAATATTATATTGTCAAACTAAATAATATAATACAATATACGATATTTACTCGAGCAAAATAAGATTTTTTCGAAAAAAATAAATAGAATAGAATTTATTTATTTTCTCTTATTTTTACATTGATTAATTTCTAAATTAAGTAGCATTTGTGTCTGCAAAATTAAATGAATATAATTTATCCTGAAAAAGGGAATTATCTTTTCTCACGTTATCGTGAATTTAATATTTTCCGTATTTTTACAATCCACATTGGAGATGTGGCAAATTGTTTACCTTTTCATTCTATTGCATGGGTGGCCGCACATGCGGTGCATAGTTTACCATGCGCGTAGGTCGACGGCTGAACGCGCAGCACACAGGTCGGGCAATGCGTGTTGCACGCAAAAAAGATATCGTAAATATATATATATATATATCCAAACGATAAACCCGTGGGCGTCAAAACGCGCTCCAATTGCGAACATGCCACGAGTCCGCTTTTTGCAAGATAAATTTCCGTTTCTCTCAATACGCAAATCGCCGATCAGTGCGGCAGTTCGTTACATTATTATCATCTCTGACCTGGGAAAATACACGATAAACATTTAACGCGCGTTTCATATACTCAATAACGGTACGTGCGAGAAAGGGCGCATGTCGGAAAATAAATTTAATCGTTCGCGGAGATAACCGGGTCGTGTCAGTGATAAAAACGTACCGGATATGTACTATGAATAATCATGAGCCGGTCTCATTATCCTCACGTCAAGGGATTAAAACGCAACTTTTGCATCCTACTGATATGTTGAATTTCTTGCGCGCAACGGTTTTTGTTCTTATTTTAATCTTTTCGCGCGACGCGCGTTTGCACGCGCGCGCAAACGTTCTCTTCTCGTGCATAAATGGAAGAACATAAAGAATTTCACAGCTTACGCGTGTATTTTCTGTGTAAAGGGAAAATCAAGAAACACGATCGTACCTCGCGCCGTGTTCATGCGTAAACGCGCAAAAGAGCGACGTGTACCTACATTAGTGAATTTATATAAAAATATAAATTAATGTTAAATATTAGATAAATAAAATGTCAAAAATAATTGAACCAAAAATGAAACAATTTAAAATTGGCAAGTAATATTTAATACAATAATGAAAACAGTATTACAAAAATAATTCATATATAAAGCGGCAAGTAAATCTATTGTCTCCCATGGATTCAATTGTTTGCTTATTTCTTTCTCTATATATAACTAGGTACCTCGATTCGCTCCTAGTATGTGACTCGTTTTTCACATTCCAATTTTCGTTTTATTATTTTTTGTTTAACTGCATCAATTAGTTGCTTTTCACTGAGATTTTCCGCGAATTTAGTTATCTAAAACAGATTATTTGAAGATATAATAGACAATATAAACAAATATAAATTTTTCTTCTACTATATACAATATATACAGTTTCAGACGTTATAACTTGCTGTATTAAGTGCATTGAGATATGTTCTGATATGTCACGTATGTCACAATTTTAACATAAATAAGCTCAACATAGAAGGGCCGAGTAATGAGAATGTTATGTGTATATAGTAAAATATACCTTTTCGAATCGTATTACAGAATGCTCGTTCGTAATAATAACAATTAATATGGCAATGTGATCAATTTGCCTAGAAAAGTAAAGTAATATATTTAACAAATATAACAAATATTCATAAATACTAAAATATATTAATAAATGAAAATGTAATCACTTGTTTAAACTGAATTCGAAAAATCCTATATTGTTGAGTATATACTTGAGCACAGTATCAGTTCTTGCATGTTTTGCAACAATAAGAAGAATGTTATTAGCACTTGTTTTACTGTCTGTTGAATTATAATAAAATCTCTCTGTCATTATTGATTCCAAATAAATTCGAATAATAACAGGATCTGTATAGCATGTTAAGTAGTTTAAAAATGCATCATCGGATGTTCTCTCCCATTTAATGAACACTTTGTCCCAAAGAAGGGGGTTTGCTGTCATTAAACCTTTACAGTATAACCATTCCCTCCATCTCAAAGAACTGCATTACCAGAGAAAAAGAAATATTCTATACAAATACTTAACTACAATATTTTGTAATATTAAAATAATTTATCCAGCATAAGGCAATAATGCCACAAAATTTGTTTATATTAATCTCGTGGTTATAAAACAACTTACTTGTGTATAGAAAATTTAAAATGTTCTTTTAATTTCGAAGTGGCTATTTTTCTGCATTCTGGTTCACCGAGAACACATGCCCACTTTACTGCTTCTTCTCTTAAACATTTAATTAAATCACTTTCGTCAATATTGTCATCGTATCCTATATTTTGCAGAAGTTTATTGAACATTTCTTTAATGACCTCCTGAAAAGTTGTTAAATAATAAAAAATTTATTATTACTTTTGAAAAAGATGATATATATAAGTATATTTACACATATATTTATTTAACTCCTTTTATACAGTACTTTAATATTACACATTATTCTTTTTTGTAGAAAATTACTCTTATTATAATTTACCTTTATAAGTGCATTATGTTGAACTCCCCAGACACATGTCATGTATTCAACAGCTTTAATCATAGGATACCATGCTACATAGTCCGTATCTTTTAATAGAAAGCTTGTAATATCCCAAAACAAGTTGATATTGAGTTGCTTTTGCGTCAAAAAGTAAAACGCGTCATCGATGATTTGGGCTCGATTCAGAGCATGAATTGTGTTACTTTCATTGTACAAATCGCAGGCAAGTTTTTTCCAGTTATCCAAATTATAATTAACGCGATAGTACCCTATGACAGAAAAATACTTTTATTATTACAACTTGTTCATCAAATTTATTAAGAAATGCTTGTAAATATCATTATTTTCTTTTATATATTTTCTCAAATAATTTATTTTTTAATAAAATATTTACAAAATTAATAATAAATTAATGTTAAAAATGTAAATTGCATACCTCCATTTGCCGAAATATTAAGTACACTACGCGTAACAATTAAGGGATCGAAAAATTTGCTTAAAAAAAGACTATTTTCAAAGCATTGTAACTCCGTGTTACTCCGTGATAAATCATTGTATTCTAATTCGGAATAAAGCATTTTGAAATTCATAGTGGAATTTTTTTCTTTTTTATTTGAACGATTGCTGATTGCTGTGCAACTTTTTTTACCGAATTATCGAGAGTTGAAGAAAAAATCGGCATTTTGTCTCCTTGATCGCTTTTACCCGTGAAAATATTATTATATAGCCACAGAAAACCGTTCAAAAGTTCAAAGTTAGACTTTTAAATGCTGTTATTGTTTTTTGTTTAGTTCTATATTTTTAATCAAAAATTCAAATTGGAAAAACACATAGGAAGTCACATATTTTATGTTGTTTCTTTAACTCAGTATAGTGTGAAATACGAAGAAAAGTCCAATCAAAATCATTAATCAAGACAAAGTTTTCTGCAAACTTGGTAACTCAGTCGAAGAAAATCACACAGCGATCAACAACCACTTAAACTAAAGAAAGAATATTCCGTTGAAAAATGTAATTAACAGAAATTCTCAAGCTAGGTATAAAGTTGCGAAGTCGAATTAAAAATAAACTTTTTTGTAAAACATTTTTTTGTAAATTTTTTTTTGCAAAAATGAAAAACGAATAAGAATTTGCTAAAAGCATTCGAAAGTATCGGATAGGATAATCTCAATTTAAATTGAGCGCTAAGAAGTATTACCTTCTATTTAATATAGAATGCGGGCAAATGACGGACAGGTGTGAATTCATGATACGTGTGTTTCATAATGTGTTATAGATGTATGATCTAAGCAAAGTTGAATTGATTTGTGCACACACACAAAGCAGTCTTAGAGAGGACATTAATATTCAATTTGTCTGTTAAATTAGAGAAGTTCTGATATTCAATATTCTTATATTCAAGTGCCACAAACTCTATTGAACGTTTATATATCATTGTTTATATATTATTCTAAATTTGTTGTACTAGGTCACACAAGCGCGTGTCATTTCTTCCCGTTATATAATAATTTGCACTTTTACTTTCTTTAAAATACTTTTCCTTTTTGTATAATAACAAAGATATAAGCTGTCAAAATATGCTCAGTCACAGGAATGCCTTAACATATGAACATGCACGAGTAACTTGCAACATTAAGGTGCAGATGTGTTAAGGCATTCCTGTGGTCGAGCGTACAATGTGTTAAATGCAAGCATCTCGATGACAACTGATCGGTAATAAACAAAATCGTCAACTCCAACGTCGCAACCGACCACTTAGTAACGCGGAAAAGAATCCTCAAAAGTAAATAACATGCCTCTTTTAAAGTAGAAATAAACTCTTGCCGAACATTAAGTATGTGCTCTTCATTGCCAATAAAACGGTCAACAGAAAGAAGAAGTTTCAAGCTTCAAAAAGCTTTCTTTCAAATTAAAACACGGTGATTTTTCGAGAGTTACAATGATTTGAAGATTGGCTATTTTTTACAATTTTTCTTGATCGCTTAATTGTTGCGAGTAGTGTATAATTGTGGCTACATATATTAATATATTAAATAAATGACATATTTCTAATGATTAAACATGGAATAATAAAACATCAATTATAAAAAATAAAGTCAGCAGAATAATAAAGTTACAGATTAATATTTACCAGCTTGTAAATTGAGAATGATCCAGTCTTTATCGTCAGTCATGTACAAGCTATAATGCGGTGATAAATTAGTTAGCCAAAAGTTACGTGTCCCAAAGCGCATGTGTGATTTCGTCGCATATACCACAAATATTTCATATTGTCTAGTGTCAGCAAGTGATGTAGTAAGAAGGTGTTCAGAATTAATATATGAGATTAATACTGTGTTAGTGGAATAATTTCGTGTCATGTACAGTACAGGATAATATCCTTCCGTTGACCAAGTATCGACTATATCTTTTATCTTACGCATGTTATGTAAAAGCATGTTTTTAACTACAACATTGTCCACAATGGCCCAAAATAATGTAATAGGAGTTAAATTCTTAGTATTTGTAGAGTTTCTCTGATCATACCTGAAAAATTAACATTGCAAAAATCTTTATTATCAATTATAAAATTACATTATTTACTATAAATAATAAATCCTCAATTTGTTGTTTAAAATAATTCTGTTCAATTTATTTCTTTACATAAAAAGTAACTAAAAGTAGCCGAAAAATTTAAAACGGTTGGTTTCTGTTTTCAAACAGTAGATTTTGAAGCATGTTATTTGTTTTAGTATTTACATTTTTTTTCGTCATATTATCACCATTAAAAAATATAAAAAGATATTACTTACTGTACATACGTGTTGATACAAGTCCAAAACACATTATCAGATAATATATGATATAACATGCGCCATATGGTGGATGCTGTTACAATTTAAATTATAAGTATAATATATAAGTATATAAAGTACTTTAAAGAGTACTTAAGTATAATAGTTTGAGGTACTTTTTTATTTTTAATAGTAGTATTAATAGTGGTATTAATTACTAATGACATAACAGTAATTAGTATTTTTTTAAAGTATTATTTTTCACTTTTAATTTTTTTTTACTTATAATTTGATGTGTAAATAAGTTGTATCTTTATCGATTTACAATTAAGTTTTCTTATACTTTGTTACAAATTTTGAGAATTTACATAGAATTATCAATATTTTAAAATTATATTTTGTTTAATTATAAGTAATATTTTAGTTATAGTTACTTAAACTTACCTTTGATATAATGAAAAGATGATCTAAGTGAATGAACTGCAGAGATGTTTGCGGTGTGTAAGGAAAGAGAATCTATAGGAAGAGTATCGAAACGTAAAGATTCCTGTTGTATTTGGACGACAAATAAGTCCATCATGCGATTATATAACCCAGTCTGTAAAGCGTGACATGATCGAGTAAATATGTAGTTGAGTATTTGAATTTTAGCAACATGTATTTAGCGCTATTGACAGCTGCTATTTACATTTGGTCGTTTATATTATAAAATTCAAAACTGCAGCATACTAATAGTAAAAATATATAAAAACCTGATCCAAAACATATGCTGCAAGAAATGTAATAAGTCCTTCTTTTGACCACAAAGGCACGTCATCATACCAATAAGATATCGTTTTACGTGCTATAAAGTTGGCCACTTTCATTTTGCGAGCAATATGATCGAAGGTATTATCATAAATAATATCTTCTTGCCTGAAAATTGTTTTCGAGTATTAAAAATATACCAAAAATTTTTATTATAAGTATGTAATTTAATAAATTTCTATACTGTCGTTGTAATAGATACAAGTTATTACGAAAGCATAAATAAACATTTAATTATATTTATCTAAAAATTTAAAGATAAACCAGTAGTAAAGTTAAATCTGAATTTGACAGGAAAAAAATGTTATATTTATACAACTTGGGTTTTTATATATTTTTGGTGAACAATATATATCATATTGTAAATGAAATAATATGGCAATAACTATTTACTTACACATTTACATAGAATTTGTTTAAGATAAAAGGGGGAAAAATATTTTGAGCATTTTTGCATCAGCAATATTACGTTCGAAAATTTGTATGACATTTAAAATAATAAGAATATTGATTGATGATTATTTATCAATATTATTCGTGGAAAAAATAAGATTTTATATGAATGTTTTACTACATAAAACTTATACATAAACATATCCATGTTTTACTATGTAAAACTTATACATAAATCGCAATTATTCATGCTTTTAATAATTAAATCTGAATTAAAATTTAATTTGACGTGTAAAAAATAATTATATTAATTTTTTGTTTAAACTTTAAAGAATATTTTAATCATATTAATAGTTAATAATTTAAATTATTATAAATATGTATATATATATATAATTATTATATTATATATATTTTAATAATTATAATTTTTAATTATACTAACATAAAAATATTCATTTTTTTTAGTTTTATAATGTTATAAATCAATATGTTTATACAATTTTATTTTAATTTTTGTTTTACTAAGGAGTACCTTAATAGAATAAATCCCCGCGTTTTTTCATTGCTGTGTTCAAAGTCCTCAATTACAAAGTAATCTAAATTTTTGGGTAAATATATAATTCCTCTACTTTTTAGTTTCAAATAGTATAGAACTACTCGGACAATGTTTTCTGCGAATCGCATTTGGTCAATCACTTCTTTTTTATACCAAAATTTGACATTTCTAGTAGAAACAAAAAAATTAGTGAATGTGGATATCACAATTGTTAAATGTTCAGGAAACATTAAAGGTGATTTGTCAAAGTAAGTCCACAGAGTGTCATCCAAGTTTTCAACTTGTATTCGTATCGGCATAGTCGATAAAAACTTATAGTCTTTATGATGCTTGATAGAAATGTTAAAGGTTGTTTTAAATATTGCCTCGTTCCAATATGGAAATAATTCAACTGCTTTTATTACTTCAATGCTTTCCTTGTTTAATCTATTTTATTTTAAATGTATAATTAATATAAAAGTTTAATCACAATTTTACTAAAAATTTATTATCTGAACTTACATTATGTCCTTTTCTTTGTCTGCGTCCATTTCGTCTTCTGATATCATACCGATATATTTGAATTTTAAGATATACCTATCAGGATATAAAACATCCCCTGATAACTTGATAAAATCAAGATGAATATACTTTTTTTTAAATTCATTGATAAATGAAAACTTTTGGATGCTGAATATCTTATTATTATCGTTGTCAAACAGATCAATTTGATTTATGAAGATAGTGTTTGCGTTTATAGTTATATTTTCCGTTGGGCGATTAATCTGGATGGTGATATTGCACTCTCCAAGAAAGATATTTCTGTATACGTCATATTCTATTTTGACACCATAATGCAGTGGTTTAAAAGTGCCATTCAAAACATTGTAATTAAGTTCAGTGTCATTTTTCGTAAATTTTGCAGTAGATAGTATAATTATCATGATAAATATTAATCTGTTTAATAAGATATGTGAAAATGCCATACTAATTCCCACTTGAAGCATCTGCAAGAAGAATTTCTTGATTAGATAAAACACATACATTTGCGACACATGCTATTTAACTTCTACAATATATAAGAAGAATAAATATTATATAACAACTATTGTAGTTAATCGTACTAAAGCGGTGTAAGATTTTCTTGAAAAACGGTTAAAAGAAAGAAAGAATTATTTGTGATAGTAAAAAAAGAAACAAAATTTTAAATACGAGAGGTTATCTAGAATTTTATGTGAGCGAGCAGCATAATTTGTTCAAAATTTTTTGTTAAATATAAAACTAAAAATATTAAATATGTATAAAATTTATATATTACTCAAAATGCAACTCAGTTAGGACATTTCATATACGTTTCATATACGTTTTATAAACATGTTCATTGTATTCATGTACGTTGAGAAAACGTATATGAAACGAACGTGTGTTATTTGGCAATAAGTAAGAGAAACTAAATTTTATTTTTACAGAAAATTACGTTCTTACATTGCTACAGATAATTAAATAAAATTTCACTTCAACCATATGTACCCTAGTTTTCAAAAAATACAATCGATATTTTCAATAAATTTTGCAAATATCATAATAATTATAATAATTTTAAACGTGTGATATAAATGTTATTAAAAAATTTTACATTCAAACAGACGATAAATAATTGTTACATTTATCTCAGCTCACGTACCATAAATTGAAAAAGGAAAAAATGAAAAGAATTGTTAAATATGTTTATCAGCTCTGAAGAATATTTTTTAAAGAATATAAAGCTGTATCTGTTGTGTTTTAGTAATTTGTTATATGTTTTTAATGAGAAATATTTTACTTATGGTAACTCACTTCTATAGATTACAATGATGTGTTTATTATAATTACAGTACTTTGTAACAATTAACAATTTGTAACAATAGTACAGTTAACACCGTCTGGATTTGCAAATGCAGAGATATGTAAATGATGAATTGAATTGCTATCTTACTGTTTCGAGAAATCACCGAACACTAAGTGGAATATTGGCAGCTAACATAATATATAGATTATATGATGTAAATAGTTCCTAAGAGGTTACGCGGTAACATATGCTACTAAACAATGGAGACGTTATTGACCGTTGATATCTAATCGAATAAAATCGCGCATAAAATATAGAAAGTAAATTTGTACGTTGTTTTTAACTATTGTTACAGAATATGTGTGGAAAAGTATACTTTTAAAGCACATATCAGTTTTATGTTTACTATATTAAAATAGAAATTGAATATTTTTTCGGATATAATCAATTTGTATTAAATTATAAATTTATTGATATATATTCTTATACATTGTTACGAATAAAAGAAGAGATTTTTACTCATCAAAAAATGAATTATTAAGCTTTATTATAAAAGATATTATATTGTTAAAATAATAAAATACTATAAAATTTTTATGTCAAAGAAGAGCCAAATGGAAGAATAACAAACATACCAAAAACTTACACTTAGATATAATAAATAAATAAAATAATTATATTTATATGTAAAAATATAAATTAATGATAAATATTAGATTAAT